AAGATTTTATTTATTTGACAGAGAGAGAAACAGTGAGAGAGGGAACACAAGCAGGGGGAGTGGGAGAGGGAGAAGCAGGCTTCCTGCTGAGCATGGAGCCCGATGCGGGGCTCGATCCCAGGACTCTGGGATCATGACCTGAGCTGAAGGCAGACGCTTAATGACTGAGCCACCCAGGTGCCCCATAATTGGAATCTTTAAAAAAAAAAAAGTTTTGTTTTTCAGATTTTATTTATTTATTTGACAGAGAGCACAAGCAGGGGAAGCGGCAGGCAGAGGGAGAGGGAGAAGTAGGCTCCCTGCCCCACAGGGCTCTATCCCAGGACGCTGGGATCATGACCTGAGCCGAAGGCAGACGCTTAACCAACTGAGCCACCCAGGCATCCCCAAAAAGAAAAAAGTTTTGATTTAGAATATTTTGGGAATTGTTCATCCAATACGGGCTTATTTGATGCTAAACTGTGTGTGTGTTAAACTTAACTCTAAAAAAAAGTTTCTTAATATCTCCTACTTCCTGTCTGTCACTTGTGTTTTCCTCCATGCCCTTCTCTCTTTTGAAATACCAGTCTTTTTCTTCTGCTTTCAGTTCTATTTTTATCTTCTTCATCTTTTAGATTCAGTATTCCTTCAACATATAGTCCATGTGGTTAGCAGGGTTTTTGTTTGTTTGTTTGTTTGTTTAAGATTTATTTATTTATTTTAGAGAGAGAGGGGAGTGGGGAACGGACAGAAGGAGAGGGAGAGAGAGTCCTAAGCAGACTCCGTGCTAAGCGAGGAGCCTGACAGGGGGCTCAATCTCAAGATCCCGAGATAATGAGTGGAGCCCAAACCAAGTGTCAGTGGCTCAACCAACTGCACCATCCAGGCACCCCAGTCCATGGATTAGCAGTTTAATGTGAATAGGGAACACTGTCCTAAAAAATCATATCTTAGAAATATAAACATCCTGTCCTGTAGTGAAAATTCAAGAAACAAAGACTGCATAAACCTCATAAAATAATTATGACAATTTTTTCTTTCACAAGATAACAAATACACAACCATTAGTACATACCTGGGGAGTACATGTATTCTAAAGGAGGATTTTCTTTAAATTATATTAAATATGTACAAAAATTTTTTTTTGAGAGTGAGCAGTGCGGGGGAGGGGCAGAGTGAGAGGGAAAGAGAGACTCTTAAGCAGGCTCCATCCCCAATGGAGTGGGGAGCTTGACTGGGGGGCTTAACTCAGGCTCAATCTCAGGACCCTGAGATCATGACCTGAGCTGAAATCAAGTCGGTTGCTTAACTGACTGAGTCACCCAGGCACCCCAAATATGTATAGAGTGCACAGAAATAACACTGTTTGATTCCAAATTAATTTTATTGCAGTTCTGGATTTTTTTTTTTTTAAGATTTTATTTATTTATTAGAGAGCGAGAGAGAGAGAAACAGCATGAGAGTGGAGAGGGTCAGAGGCAGACTCCCCGCTAAGCTGGGAGCCCGATGCGGGGCTCGATCCCAGGACCCTGGGATCATGACCTGAGCCGAAGGCAGCCGCTTAACCGACTGAGCCACCCAGGCGCCCCAAAAGAATCACTCTTCAAAAGCCAATTAAGTTTATTATGGAATAATAAGAATGATTTAATATTAGTAAACCTGTTAATATAATCCTTGACATCAATGGATCAATGGAGAAAACATGTTTGATTTTCCCCAATAGGCGCCAAAAAAAATGTGTATAAAATTTGGCATCTATTCCTCACAAATGTTCTTACAAAACTAGGGATAGAATACTTCCCATTAAGATCAGGAACAAAACAAATTATGACTATTAAGTAGGACCAAATCCAAGTTTTGTGAGTCCTGGGGTTTATACAGTTGATCCTTGAACAATGAGGGTGTTAGGGATGCCGACTCTCTCCTCTTACTCAAAAATCCATATATAACTTTTTTTAAACATAATCTCTGCATCCAACATGGGGCTGAAACTCATGACCCTGAGATCAAGAGTCACATGCTGAGTGAGCCAGCCAGGCACCCCAAAATTCTATATATAACTTTTGATTTCTCTAATACTTAACTACTAAGAGCCTACTGTGGACTGGAAGCCTTACTGATAACATAAACAGTCAATTAACACATATTTTGTATGTTATATGTACTATATACTGTATTCTTACAAAGAAGTAAGCTAGAAAAAAGAAATGTTATTAAGAAATCATAAGAGAAAATACATTTATAGTACCATATTGTATTTATCAAAAACTCTGTGTGTAAGTGGACCCATGCAGTTCAAACCTGTGTTGTTCAAGGGTCAACTGTACAAGTTGGGAGGTCCTCTTTTATTTTATTCTTTATTTATTTTTTATTTTTATTTATTATTATTTAATCCCAGTATACTTAACATACAGTGTTATATTAGTTTCAGGTGTACAATATAGTGATTCAACAAATCTATATATTACTCAGTGCTCGTCATGGCAAGTGCACTCTTTAATCCCTGTCCCCTATTTCACCCATCCCCCACCCACCTCCTCTCTGGTGACCATCAGTTTGTTCTCTATAGTTAAGGGTATGTTTCTTGGTTTGTCTCTCTTTTTCTTTGTTCATTTGTTTTGTTTCTTAAATTCCACATATGGGTGAGGTCATATGGTATTTGGGGAGGTTCTCTTTTAACAAAACAAAGAATACAAGATTTTCTGGGAGCCTCTCAAGCCTCACAAAAGGGCCTATGCAAAAAAGGAGCTTTGAAGCTTAAGCTTCTCCCCTTTTTATTATTTTTTTCCCCTATCATGGTAAGGCTCATTTGTATGGCCATTAGAACTTAATGTTTTGTTCTAGATGTTCAAGCCAAGGTAATAAGAAATGACGTAGAAAATAAAGGTACAAGAGGTATCATTACCAGAAAAGAGAATATAAAATTGTCCTTTTAAAAACTGATATGATTAAATGTTCAGAAACATCAATTGTAAAGTAGAGCTAATAGTAATATCTATTTAATAGTATTGTCAGAATTCAATAATCCACATAAAGGGCCTAAAAGGGCACCTGGCCTGTAATAAGCTCTTAATAAATGTTAGCCCATTAAATATTCCTGCCCAACAAAGAAGCTAGTTCTTCTAATTCACTGATTTCTCTGTTTAATCTTTGCTAATTTTAGTCTTCAGCTTTACTTAGACTTGTTCTGAGGTTTTATTTTTAACTTCTTAAGTTGAACGCTTAGTTCATCTAAAGCTACAAGAATTTGACATATTTTGTTTGCATTTATTTTCTTAGATGTCTATAATTAGAATTTTGATTTTTTTTTACTCCAAAGTTATTGAAGATTCTTTAAGTACAGTAATTAAAACAAACTTTTTTTTTTTTTAATTTAGAGATGGTTCTATCTTTTAAAATTACATCTGCAAGGGGTGTCTGGCTGGCTCATGTTGGAAGGGCATGTGACTCTTGATCTTGGGGTCGCGAGTTTGAGCCCCACACTGGGTGTAGAGATTGCTAAAAGAATAAATAAACTTTAAAAAATTATACCTGTGAGTAGTTTTATTAACGTTAGATAGTGTTACCTGGTAATGATTTCTTGTCTCCTGAGTTAGATGAGGATTCAGAGTGCCTTTTCTGTCCTAAACATTTTCCAGCTCTTTGGTGGAAATAAAGACTGCTGAATTCTTTTTTATTTACATTAGGATCAGAAGCACAAAATAAATCCAAACTGGAGACAGATGGTAATTCTTTCCAGAAAGTCTTTTTAGTCCCAGCATTTGAACTTTCACATATGAAGCCTTCTAACTCATCTGATAGACATTTTTGCTGATTAGTGAATAAATTATCTTTCTGAGAGTACCATTTGTCACATGTAGTCTGCTGTACACCATATTCTAAGTTGAATGAGTGATTCTGTTGTTCCCATACATTTTTCTTAAAGTTCCAGGGAAGAGAAGATTGGGAGCCTTCTAGTGAAAAGCTAGGGGCAGACACTTCTTTATTTATAGGTCCTTTTGCATCATGTGTTCCCTTTTTCTGGTAATTTATAAAATTAGGGGCAACTCTCTTCTGGGTGTCAATTGGTGATATGTTTTCACAGTTCATTTGTGTTAGATCCAAATAAAAGACATCTGACTCTGAATCATTTTGGTTTCGAAAGGAGTTACCAGCCACATTCCTTGATTCTGTATTAACCAGGAAAGGATTGTGCACTGTGTTAGGGTTACAACTGGAGTCCTTCCAGTAGCTGGCCTGATTGTAAGAAGTCACAGGTGGTAAAATGCATGGCATTTCTCTTAGTTCCATAAGGGAAGAGTTATAGTTTGAAGTGCTGTTTGTATCTCTGTGCACTGTCTCTCCTATATCTGAATAGTGGTAATATTCATTATGTTCTTGAAAGACAGAGTTTGAAGAGCCAGAAGCTGAACTCTGGGAGGTAAAGGTACTAGTCTGATTCCCATTTTCCTGAGGTAATGGTCTTGGAGGTGAATTTGTTATGGAAGAAGAACTAATCTTGAATAAGGAAGTGATGCTACAAAAATGCTAAAAAATTTTAAAAATTAATTAATATAATACAAACACAATATAAACATCAGTCAAGTAATATAAATAACAATGCTTATCTATATGTAAAGAAAGCAAGATATAAATAAGTAGGGTATTGTAGTGATCCATGTCATAAGAAACATAACATAATTAGGCTCTATTAAAAGAAAAACTTATTATAAAATCCATTTTCTAATCACTTGTAATAGAATTTTTAGTTACACAAGTTATACATGAATACCATCTGCTTGATAAAAATGTAAAATTTTTACCAATAAGGCTAAAGTTTTCTTTATTACTATAAGGAAGGGCATCAGGATTGTAAGCACATATGAATAGAGTGTGTGATCACATACTTGTGGGCACAATAACATTTCAAAATAATTTGAAGTGTGATAAGCTGACTGTACTGAATTATCTATACAAGATAGCTTTAAAATGTATAATGTGATTGACATCCAATGAGAGTTCTATGTGAAATTTAGTTCAAGTAAATTATTTCTTTGCTACAGAAAGTCCAAAACAATTTAACTTGGATACCTTCATTTTGAAAACTGTTATGGTAAAAATCAGTACTCAAATGGGAAGGAAATAAACTCATATAAGACTATGGAGTTCAAAAAACTAACCTTTAACACCTTTTCTGGAACTTCAGGTAAAAGCTCCTGAAGTTGACACAGAGTTGCTAATAATATCCAGTGCAGTGAAGGTCCTTTGTTTAACATGAGCTGAGCCACCAATGGGTTAATACATGGAAAGTCAAGTAAGTACATTTCTTCCTAGGAAAGAGTTTAAAGGAATAATCAGCCACTGGTCGTTTGAAAATGATCCATTTTATTCTGCTCAATCTAGCGGATTAAAATTTTTGTCATTGTATCTATCACTCAATTTGAGATGCCTGGAAAAAAGTATGGCTAGTAGGGAAAGGAACTTTTTTGGCAGTTAAGATTCATATGCTCTCAGAATTGAGAAAAATCTTAAAGTTCATTCATTTTAATCACTCATCCAAAAATTTTTGTTACAGTTCGCCTCCTTCGAATGACAAGTGTTTTACCTAATGGCAGATTTTCTAATGAGAAACGTTTTAGGGGACTTTTATAACTCAAGATTTCTTTAGCTCTCCCTTATACTTCTATTACTATTTGATTAAGATGAACCCTGTTTATGAGAAACCATGTTTATGATAATTTCAGAAAAGCCTTGCTGTGAAGAGTGTAAGAAAAACTTCTATCGAACAGAACTGACCTTGTTGGTCTAAAAATGTGTGTTTTCAGAGAGATCTCATAAAAGTCTAGAAATACAGCAGCCATGTTTTACTATTACTGTATTTCCTTTTCTTTCTGGGTTACGCTGGCTTTTTGCACCCTCTTTGATTTTATCAAATGACAGATATGTGAGTAGATTAGACATGCCTTGGTAGGAGGGAAACTGCACAGACATACATACATCCCATAATGAATTATACCCATGTTCTGTTTAGGCATATAAAAATTCTGTGATTTAATATATATAAATATATGAATGTTTGATGAATGTATATGAATACATTAATATTTTATTTATTTGCTTTATAATTTTATTTTTTAAATAGGTAAAATCGTCACATGGTTCAAAATTCAAAAGGTACTAAAAGGTGTGCAGTAAAAACTCTCATCCTCACCCCATTATCCCAGTTCTCCTCTCTGGAGATAACTAATGTTATCATTTCTTGGTATCCTTCTAGAGATGTTTTATTCATTTACAAACACATATAAATATTAATTTCCCCTTGTTTTACACAAGTGGTAGTACACAAAGCTCTATGCTGCAACTTCATTTTTCATGTAATATATCTGAAAGATCATTCCATGTTAGCTTCATTATTCTTTTTTTATGTTTTCATGATTTGAATATGTTAAAAATAAAGGTAACAGAGATACTAGGTTGGTATGAGAACTTGGAAAGATTTATGCTTAAACAAAAGGAATTTCTAAAAATTAACTGTGCAATCTTACAAATATGTTACAACTCTACTTTCAGTTTCAATTATGTAACTGAATTACTGACAAAATGAAATGATGGAATTTTGCTATTCTCATATTTACTACTCTTAAATGTTTAAATTTAGGAACTAGAAAAACATGTTTTGAAAATATTAGGCACTGAAGTCATTATATCACCTAATACACTTGATTTGAAAGTTCATTATAAGATCTTGCCATTTGCAACGACGTGGATGGAACTGGAGGGTATTATGTTGAGCGAAATAAGTCAAACAGAGAAAGACATATGACCTCACTGATATGAGGAATTCTTAATCTAAGGAAACAAACTGAGGGTTGCTGGAGTGGGGGTTGGGGTGGGAGGGATGGGGTGACTGGGTGATAGACACTGGGGAGGGTATGTGCTCTGGTAAGCGCTGTGAATTGTGCAAGACTGTTGAATCTCAGATCTG